ACCCCTGGAATGGGCAGGGAGAGACAGGGACACCCCTGGAATGGGCAGGGAGAGACAGGGACACCCCTGGAATGGGCAGGGAGAGACAGGGACATCCCTGGAATGGGCAGGGGTGCCCATGTCCCTGGCACGGGCAGGACACCCCTGGCACGGGCAGGGAGCCTGGCCAGCCCCAGGACTGACCTGCAGGACGATGGGCAGCTGCTCCGGGGGGTTGCGGTTCTCCACGCCCATGGTCAGCCACACCTGGAAGGCCGTGAGCTGCTCGGCGAAGAAGGGGCTGTGCTGGGGGAGCCAAGAGGGAATGCATGGGTTAAACACCACGGAGTGAAGCCAAGAGTTCTGACACCTATGGACCTCCCTGCGTCCTGGAGCTGTGATTTGTAACTGGCACATGTTTGCTTGGGGTTTTCTAAAGGCACAAAATCTTCCCAAAGACCGAGCAGACACATGTCCCTTTAAATGTGGTGGGAAAAAAAGAATGAGAGAGTAGAGAAACAGGAAAAGTGACCAGAAAAGGTCTTGGGGAAGCGTGGCTGCTCTCTCCCCAGGAGCAGCAGATGGAGCAGCAGTGGATTTATCTGCTCTGCAGAGGCTCCTGCAGCAGCACTTGGAGCTGTCTCTGCCCAGTCCATGGAGACACAGCCCAAAAGCAATGAGAATAAATTCCTGGTGTCATCCCTCACTCTGAGGGAATGGAACATATTGGGGTGAGGATGCACTGACCAAAGCACACAGCAGCTTCCAGGCAAGAATCCACAGAGAACAGAAATCAGTGGGGAAGGAGAAGGGAAGAGATGGAGGAGGGAGGGAAAACCAGCCCAAACCCATCCCTGTAGGAACACTGGGAGCTCCCAGGCCCTTCTCCACCAGGTTATTTTATTTTCCACGTCTGGGCAGGCAAGAACACCCTGGGAGTAGCCAGGAGTGGTTTGTGATGTGCTGCTGAGCCAGCCCCAGCAGGTCCCTGTGCCTCCCCCGGGTGCTCCCAGCCCAGCCCTGCCAGGAGCAGGCTGACAGTGGCCACGGTGGCCACAGGGACCGTCCCCTTCCCTGCCCCCTGGCCAGCACCAGCCAACCTCCTACCAGGTTGGAACCTGGTTGCACTAAGGCTGCCAGCCCCAGCTCACACTGATGGCTCAACCTGCCTCCATTCCAGCCAAAATACACAATAATCCACATTTGTCAGGCTGGAAAAGCAGCTTGTAAATTGTTCCCAGCCCACCCCGAATCGATCTCCAGCTGAGGGTGGCCACTCTTCTTCGCTGACCTCCTGTCTGATCCCCAGCAGGTCTGTGCCTCTTCCCACCCCAAAACACTCAGAAATCTCCTGAATTTCAGCCCACTTGACAAAGAAAGCCCAGCTGAGGGTTAACACTCAAATATAATAAAAAAGCCTCCAATGACATTGTTAGAGACTGGAAGTAAAAATGAACGTAAGTCAGGAGGAGAAAAATCGTATTTTTTACGTTCTAAAGCAGAGCACGGAGCCAGGAAGGCAAGGGGTGGGAGGATAAAGGCCTCAGGGCATCCTGATCAACCCCCAGCCTGGCAGGAGCCCACAGCTCTCTTCCTGCACTCAGGGCTTTGGAGAAAACCTGCAATTACAGCCAGAAAACCTTTGGAAGTTTGGCAATATAAATAAACTGCAAGAATGCTTCTGGAAATTAGAGAGACAACAGGATGGAAAAGGGACCTGAGCTTGTATAGTAATTATTATTTAAAGGTTTCACTTCATGAAATATCAAAGGAAAATCAATAAAAATCCATTCTGAATAAAGGAATTTAAGCTAAATATAATACTAGAAATTTTACTTTTCTCTGAGATTAAATAAAGCAGAAAACCCCCAGTGACTCCTGTTAACAACACTGAGCTTAAGAGAACTCTCTGGACATACCCTCAAACTCCAGTTTATATTTGAAAAGACCTCCAAGAAGAGATAATTTTCACCTTTAGGCCTTTAATTGCAAAAATTGTGCTGCATGTTGGGACCTTTTGGGTAACAGCACCTGGTCAAGTCTGAGTGCTGTGGAATGTTCTGGGTCAGGTCTCAGACACTGCTTTTACTGGCAGGAGTTTTCTGCTCACCCCCACGCTGGGGCTGGATGGTGCAGCAGGGAAGGGCTTAAACTTGATTTTTATCTGTTCCTCTAAGGGACAATCCCAGAATTCCAGAATGGTTTGGGTTGGAAGGGACCTGAAAGCCCATCCACCTCCAGCTGTCCCAGGCTGCTCCCAGCCCCGTCCAACTTCCAGGGATGGGGCAGCCACAGCTCCTCTGGGCACCCTGTGCCAGGCATTTTCAATTTTCCACAAACATAACCCCTCCAACTGCACCAGCAGCAGTGATGAGCTGAGCTGAGCTGTCAGGGAACAGAGGAAGCTGGGCCCACGTTTTGGGAGAGTCCCCAACTTACCCTGAAGGCAGTTCCTTCCTCGATAATGGTGGGCAGCTGGGAAAGGCAAATATCAACAGCAAGGTCCCAGGCTTGCCTGGAGCAAGGAGAGAGGGAAGAGAAGGAATTACAAGTTATCCATAAGGAACAGCAAGGGAAACTGAAATTCTGACCGTCCAAGAACGGGGACAGCGTTTGACTGGCTTAGAAGTGCTCGAAATTCCCTGTTTTCAGGGAGAAATGGGAAAAAAAACACCTAAAGACGTTTTCTGCAGCACTGGACAGTGTCAGCCCACAGGGCCTTTGAGGTATGTTTTACTAGGCAGAAGGAGAATGGTTCAGAGACCAGAGACAACTGCTCCGATTTTGCTGCCCACAAAAGGAATCTGTGGGTCACTCACTGCAGCAGCACACAGAGAAGATGCTGAGCTCTTCTCAGTACTTTTAGGTAAGCAGCACTAATACTGCTACAAAAATGCCCAAAGCAGCCCTGTGAGGTCAGATCTCAAAGGGTTTAAGAGTTATCAGAAAGAACAAACAAAAAATTTTAAAAGAGATTTGAGTAGATTAAAACGAAATCTCTTTTTGACGCTTCTGAAAACAGGCTGCTGGAACCACACAGCCATCGTTACCCAAAGCATGCAAACCCCTGCCAGCCCTCCAAAACAAAACCTGAACCTTCCTGCTCTCCACAGCCACGGGCTGTTGATCAATGTCAGCTGTGCAAGGGACCCTGCTCAAGTCAAACACTTCAAATGCTTCTCCAGGCATTCCAGAGCAGCTCTGAGATGGTTCTGCAGCCCTTCCAAAGCACCCAAAGTGCTGCTTCTGCTGTGTCTGTGCAAAACACAAATCCTCCCAGCCAGAGGGACACCAGCAAACAGGTTTGCCCAAAGCACAACTTCTCCACTTCCAACCACTGGAACAGCTGCTCCCTCCTCAGAGCCTCAGGGTTCCACACAGGTTCCACACAGGTTACACAAAGGTTACTCACTGTGCTGGCTGAACAGACAATTAAACACTGGTTACAGTAATTACAAGATTCAAACCAAGCCACAAATGAATGGGAAAGGATAAACCCTGGAGGGTGGGGAGAGGAGGAGAAGGGAAAGCCCTGTCCCAGTGCTGGAGGCAGCCCTGGCTGGGAGGAGGAGGAGGAGGAGCAGTGACTGACAGCTTTAATATCCCAAAGGGAACAGGAAAGGTGGGCACACCGTGGATGTGCTGCCTGACTCCCGTCACACAAACAAGAGATAAATTTGGGAGCAGGATGGGAGGTGCTGCATCCCACCAGTGATTTATGAAAGCCAAGGCAGGGATCAGAGGCTGCTCTCTGCCAAGTGCTCTGCAAGATTGCTTTTCACTGCCATTGGGACACAAAGAGCTCTACAGCTTTCTCTCCTTCCTCCTCTCCTCCAATAACTCCAGGCCCTCCACCCTGACAGGGTGACACAGTGATGTACCCATGGGGTGACAACACCCAGGCCTTCAGCTGAGCTATGCTATGAAATAAGGTGTTAAAGAGGAATTTATTTTTTTTTAATACTACCTTGAACTAACTGCACAAAGAGAAAAGCTCTCCTTAGCAGGAAGATTGACTTGGCTAAAATTGTGATTTTGTTTATCCCAAAGCCAAGGCAGCACCACAACAGGAATGGTCTGTGGAGGGAACCCCCCTCAGTCCAAAACCCTTTCACTACACTAGGAGTGTTTAAATGTTTAATAATTCAGTGTGAACCCATCAGCTGACTCTGTTCTCAGTGGTGCTACAAAGTCTGGATTTCAAGCAAAGAGCAGAAGGCAGAGTCCCAGCCCTGCTCAGGGACTGCTTCATTGCCCAAAGCCACAACCTGCCAGGCACTGGAAAGCCCCAGAAACACTCAGGGAGCAGAAACTCAGCCCAGTTCGAGCCTGTGTCTGTCTGCACCCACGGGTACCCATTAGCTGCCAGCTCGTGGAGGCTGATTTTCTCACACTCAAATTTTTGGGGCTGACTCAATGTCTAATGCTTTTAACTCTGTCCTTTTTGTTGTTTTTTTTTTGAATAGCGCATTCTTGACGTCTTTTCACGCTCTCTTTTCCTCTGGGAATGGTGGTACCAGCCAGGTACCAGGGAACAGGAGTGTTCCTGCCTGGAGGAGCAGCCCTGGGGCAGCTCCTCCTTCTGATCCCTGTTTCTGCAGCCATTAAATATTCCCGAGCTGATCCAGTCTGCTGGACAGGACACTCCAGGTTTGTTCTGCCAGTCCAGTGCCAGCCCTGCCCTGTGTGGCCACGTCCCAGGTCCCAGCCCCAGCTCACCTGTGTGGCAGCCACCCTGTCACCTCCCTAAGCTGCTTGGGGCCACAGCTGGGAGGGAAGCTGCTCAGACACAGCTATTTTTAACAAACAGTTACTGCTGTGAGCATTTGGCACAAGTCTGAAATCCTTTTCTTCTCCCGGCACATCCCCCTGCTCCAGCCACAACTTTGCACAGGCTTTGCTATTTCTGTCCCACATCAAAGTCTCCGTAGTCCAATAATGGGACTTGGGGACGCAAAGACGAACACACAGACACAAAAAATTATCTGGTTACAGTGTAATCTGAACTAATCTAATCCTTCAAACGTCAAACAGCTCCAAATAGCTCCTCAAACAATGGCTTTCTCCTTGCGGAGGCTCCGAGCGCTGCGGTGCAGCTCCGGGAGCCGCGTTTCCGAGGGAGGGCTGAGCAGCCCTGACCCATCTGCAGCCTCCCCTGCTGCTCCACCTACAACTGGGTTGCTGCCTTGTGGTTTTGTTCCCAGCCCCAATCTCCAGCTCCTCGTGGTTGCAGTACATTATGACTGCTTTCAACCCAAATTTCATGGCCTGCAAACACACCACGCTGTTTCTATTAGGGATGGGTTGTAGCTCTTCCAAAGCATAATTAAGGCACTTGGGGTTTAATATATGACCTGTGTTAGGAAATATTTCCAAACACATTATTAGGTCTTTGCAAAGGCCGTGAATAAAAGCAGCTGGCAGCAGCAGTAATGCACAAACCCTAATCCATCACGGCAGAGATCAAGGTGCTGACAGAGCTCTGTGCTCAGGCACAACAGACAGAGGCACTCGCAGCTGAACAGCACAGCCAATCAATGGATATTAATATTAATGTTAATATTAATCCTGTGTTAGAGCCCTGCCTGCAGTGAGAGGCACCACAAACACAGCCAGCCCAGGGGAAGGGGCTGAGCAGGCAAAACTCAAGGTAGGAAAAACAGAAGTAAGGTGTCAGATCAGCTCTCCTGACTCCAAAGCACATTGCCCTTCCTGGGGAAGGGAGGAGACTGACAGCTCGTGGGTCAAATAGCCCCTCAAAAAATGGGAAATCTCACTTTTCCTCAAGCTCCAGCTAAAGAGATCTCCCAGATGAATGGCCAGAACACCAACTTGAAAGGTTAACTTTTGAAAAAGGCAGAGCAGCTCCCACCTCAGGAGCCTCAGCACTTGTGTTGTACCTGTGCCAGACCCCCAGGCCAGGAGCCACCCCAGTGTGACCTGGAGCTCTCCACAGGCAGGGCTGGGGACAAGCAGAGGAGACAGGGAGCAGAGGCTGATTTTGTGCCCCAGAAGGGGCAGTGGGAATCATTCAGGAGGAAAAATTGATGCTCAAGTGTCAGGGGCTGTTTGCCATGCTGCTCCCACCACGGGCAGATCTTGTCACGGCAGCCAGACCTGCTCCCCAAAACACTGCCTGGGGATCAAAAATCTGGGAAGGTCTGGATAAAACACCCATCAGAACACTCTGCTGGATCAGCCACAGGAGCTCCACAGGAGCCCCACAGACCCCTGGCTGGAGTTCCATCCTCTCCAGCAGCCTGTGGCCAGCTGCCCTGCCCTCACCTCATCCCCCAGCTCATCCAAACCGTAAAATGGGTCTGCAGCTTTCAGATCAGGGATCCATTAGAAATTCCTGAGTGAAAGGTGATAGACAAGTAATTATTTTTAGAAAATATTTAAACGAGCCCTAAATTAGTTTCTAAATCTGTCCTTACTAAAAGTTCCTAATAACGCACTGAGCCACCTCGGACAAAAGTGGAATTTTCCCCTTTGCTGGATTTACTGCAAACTGCACCTTTTTTGGAGGGCACTGAGTAAAGTGTGTCAATTCCCTTGCTCTCCACCTCACCAGTGTTCAGGATTCATGTGGAAAAGAGCTCTTTGTGTGCCTGTTCTTAGGGATTTTTTTTCTGATAAATCCAAAAAAGCAGCAGCAAAGGTGCTGTGCTCTGAGGGGCTTCACAAAGGTGTCTCCAGCACCACCCTGTAGCTTCCCAAAGGGATTTCCAGCACCACTGTGCTCCAGAACCACATTATGAGCAAAGAAAATGTGTTTCTAGACCCTATTGTGCTGCCATGTGAGTCTGAGAGATGAAAAATGGGATCCAGGAGTTCCCAGTTTCATTCCTGTGGCTCAGCCCATGGATGGCAACACCAGCTCCAAGTCAAGTCATATTCCCATAGGAAACCAGAAATGTAGGCTTTTAATAGGCTGGCAATAAGAGTGAATTATGTCCCTATAAGGAACAGAAAATATAGATTTTTAATATGCTGGCAAAAAAGCAAGCTGTAAATAACTCCAGAAATTTACTGGTTTAATTTTGAAACTCCTGCAACACCATGTCCTACCCTCCTGCACTTGCAAACTGCAGCTGATGGCTGGAGCTCTGCCAGGCTGACTTTTCCTGCTCTGTCCTCACCAGTGTCCCAGCCAGCACTGACAGAAGAGCTCATCCCATTCACAAAAGCCTCAAGCAGTTTTCCTCAGAAGCTGCTGATCCAAAGCACTCAGAATGTTCAACTCCCCAACTGCTGACAACTCCAGCCAAAGGCTCCCCAATTTCCTCCAGGATTTTCAATAATTAAAGCAGCTCTGTGGTAGCAGCAAATGCCTGCTCGGTGTTTGCCTGCACCTGCAGAGGCTCCTGGGGCTCCCTGCTGCCAGCCTGGCTCCATCCCCTGCAGAAACCACGCCGTGAAATCAGGGAATGTTTGGGTTGGACCTCAAAGCTCAGCTCACCCCACCCCTGGGATGGCATCTCCCACTGTCCCAGGCTGCTCTGGGAATCTGAGCTCCTCCTCAGTGCTACACTCATTCATCACCACCCTCCACCTTCACCTTCCTCCACATTTGACGTTGGAAACCTCTTCAAAAGCTTCTGGAAATGCAGGCAGGTGGAGCCCCCTCAGCTTCAGCAAGGCTCTGTTCTGCCCCCAGGAGCCCCCTCAGTGCCACTGCCCCCTCTGTACTTGGTCCAATTTGGTGCTGCTCTATTAATCACAGTGAGTAAGAAAATAAAAGCCAGAATTTTTGTTGTTACTGCTATTATTATCATTTTTACTATAATTGTTTGTGGGACATTGGTTTGATAGGCAGAACTACATTTAAGAGCTTTTTGATAACTGTGCCACCTCCATTTCCATTAATCATCTTAAAAGCAAAAGTGGAACTCCACAGAAGGAATTTCTTCTATTTCAGCAACACAAGGATCCTTCCCTCAGGCCCTTCCCACCCCAACAATCCCTGGGGACCAGTTTTGCCTCGGGAAAACAAAGACACACAATCCCTGGGGAGCAGCTTTACCTCGGGAAAACAAAGGCAGCAGATGACCCATTTCTTTGGTATTGGAGTGAAAGGTGCCAGGGCTGGCCTGGAGCTCCAGAGGATGACAGGATAATTATGAATACCCAGAGCAGCTCTGGAGATGGGCACTAGGCTGCCACGAGCTGCTCCATTCCTGACCCACCCACTGAGCCAGGGAAGCACTGCAGACATTCGAGTGGGATCATGGAACGCTTGGGCTTGGAGAGGACCCTAAAGCGTCACCCAGGGACACCTGCCACCATCCCAGGGTGCTCCAAGCCCCTTGGGGACACTTCCAGGCAGCCATGGAATAACCTGAGCCGGGGTGGACTCCTTCCCAACACCCCAGGTGATTCCTTCCCAACATCCCAGGTGATTCCTTCCCAACACCCCAGGGGATTCCTTCCCAACACCCCAGGTGATTCCTTCCCAACACCCCAGGTGATTCCTTCCCAACACCCCAGGTGGCCCTGAGCAGGCTGGGGCTGGCAGCACTCACCACATGGCGTGCATGTAGGTGGGGGGCAGCCGGGGGCTGCTCACGGGGGTGCAGTTGTAGGACCTCATGATCCTCTCTGCCAGCAGGAAGTTTCGGAACAAACTGGCCACCAGCAGGTCCTGGCGGAAAAGCTTCTGGAAAAGATCTGCCAAGAGATTGCAGGAGTCACTGCAAGCACCTGGCAGCACCTCGGGCAGCGTGCAAAAAGGGCTTTAGACATAAAACCATGCTATGGTTATGTTGTGTTATGGTTGGGTGGTGTTATACTATATTATATTATTATTTTTATTATTTTATCATTATACTATAATACTATATCATTATTATATCATATTAACATTATATTATATATCATATATTATTATATTATTATATATATATGTCATATATTATTAACATTATAGCATATGTTACTATTAACATAGTATATGTTATTATTAATACTATAGTATGTTAACATTATAGCATATGTTACTATTAACATTATAGTATGTTATTATTAATACCATAGTATGTTATCATTAACATTATAGCATATGTTACTATTAACATTATAGTATGTTATTATTAATACCATAGTATGTTATCATTAACATTATAGCATATGTTATTATTAACATTATAGTTTATGTTATTATTAACTTATCATATTACATTATATTATTCTTAATTTTATTATTTATATTATTAATATATTTTAGTTTTGTATTTTTGTAATTCTGTTTTGTTCTGCTAACAAGGAATCTCCAGCAGTTCTGCAGGGATGTGATGACAACCACAAAAGGGAAATTCTGCCTTCAGAGCTCCCTCAGAGCACCATGGCTACTCCATTCCACAATTAAACACTTTCTGCCTTGGGTTCTTCTTTGCCTTTTCTGGATCAAATCCCCTCTTTTGGTGTTTCAGTTCAGCTCATCCTAAGATTTTGGAAAATTACTGAGGGAGAACAGGACCTCTGTGTACTGTTTAATCAAGAACTACCCATCTGTTAACTGGCAGTTTGATGTGCTCATGAGAAGCCAAAATGAATCCTGAAAGATAGCAAATGTGCTCTCTTCTGCAGGGCAGAGAAGAATTGATGCCATGTGAGCATTAGGAAGAGCAGGGCTGGAGAACTGTTTACAAATTTGGCTGCTTGTGCTCCACAAGTACCAATTCTGAGCACAACAGGGGTGGAGGAATGAGGGATGAAGTTACTCATGGGAAACAAAACTGCCTTACCAGCAAAGAGGGGAAAAAAGCCTTTATTCATGCTACTAACCAAGGCTGGAAGAAAACAGATTGCTCTCTACAAATACAGTAAGAAAGAGAATTATTCATGCTACGACAATTGTGTTAGCACAGAAAAACCCTTTCTGGGTTCTAATCATCAGGTCCCTGCAATGCTCTGGTAAAAAGAACAAATAGAAAACAAACTAGCTTTCAGCTCCATCCTGATCTGTTCCTCCAGTTTCAGGGTTTAATTTTCTCCTCATTTCAGTGTCTCGTGGATCTGACTCCTCATCCCCCTCCCCTGCCTGGCCTCACCTCTGGGCAGGACGTTCCAGGCAATGGTGTCTGTGATGGCTGTGAAGATCCAGTTCAGCTCTCCCAGGGGAGTTCTCCTGTCATTCAGCCTCCCAGGAATCCTGCAAGTGGGGGAAATAAAACCCAAAATAAAACCCCTGTTATTTTGCCTTTCTCCTCATGAGAAATAAGATTATTTCAAAATATTCTCCTCATCAGCAATAGGATGAGGAAGTTTGAGAAACATGCAGTAACCTGCTAAGACATCCTGTGGATTTAATCCTAATTTAACCCAATTTCCTTTCTGTGACAAGTTTTTAAATATCAGAAGTATCAGGACCAACACAGGAAGCCTTTCTGTGGCCACTCACTCCTCTGCCACATGCAGCAGCACCATTCCCACGTACAAATACACTTCTAAACCAGCTGGAAATTAACATCTTATGAAAAATTCCTGTCTGTCTTGGTATGAGAGGAAAAACACACATCTCGGAAGCAGTGTTTGCTAATGGATCCCCCGGAGCGAGCGCGGGGAACACGAGGCCACAGAGGCTCTGCTGAGGATTCCCTGTCAATATTTGCATTGCAGAACACCCTGTGCAGCACAGCACAGCCCCCCAGGCCAGGGGGGCTTCCCTGGGAGCCAAGGGGATCCTTGCTGAGCTTCCCCAGCACCGTGGGATGGCAACTTTCACAGCAGGCTTCAGGCTCCAGGAGGGGTTTCTCCCTGGGAAGGGCGGCCAGGCCTCGGCAGGGGCTGCCCAGGGAGGGCTGGGGTGCCCATCCCTGGGGTGCTCATCCCTGGAGGTGCCCATCCCTGGAGTGCCCATCCCTGGAGGTGCCCATCCCTGGAGTGCCCATCCCTGGAGTGCCCATCCCTGGAGGTGCCCATCCCTGGAGTGCCCATCCCTGGAGGTGCCCATCCCTGGAGTGCCCATCCCTGCAGTGCCCATCCCTGCAGTGCCCATCCCTGCAGTGCCCATCCCTGGAGGTGCCCATCCCTGCAGTGCCCATCCCTGCAGTGCCCATCCCTGGAGGTGCCCAAGGAAGGGCTGGAGGTGGCACTCAGGGCTCTGGGCTGGGGACAAGGTGGGGATGGGGCACAGCTGGGACTCTGAGATCTCAGAGGTCACTTCCAACCTCAAAGGTTCTGTGTGAAACCTCCTGAGCTGCTCAGACAGGAGCCACACAGCTCCTGTGCTCAGGGACGTGCCCATCTCCAAATCCCAGGGCTGGTGCCATGCCTGGGCTGTGAAAGCTGGGCTGTGAAACCACTGAGGGGGACGAAGGCTGGGAGCTCTCAGCTGGAGCTGCAGAGCCCCCGGAGCGAGGATGTGAGCACAGCGTTGCCATGAAAACCATCCCTGGAGCAGGATCTGCATTCACAACAGGCTGAGCCCCCGGGAGAGGGGACAAAGGAGCTGCTCCAGCACGGCAAAGCCAGGGGCTGAGGAAGGGAAACTCCTGCCAGTCCCATCCCAGCAGCTCCAGCAGGGCTGGGAGAGGTGCCCAGGGCTCTGAGGCACAGCAGCCCCCTGACCCCAGGGCCAGGAGCACCCCCTGAGACACAGAAATCACCTCTGACATCTTCTACTCGGTTTTCTACATGAAAATCAAGGGGCTGAGAGCTGCCAAACCCAGGTGCAAAAGCAAACCATGAATTATCATCTTCCACTATAAATAATAAACAGACATTAAAACATGAGCAATTTCCAGCCCCTGACATTTGATAATGCTTCAAGTGGAAACAAACATTAATTTTAGTCTCACATTTGTTATTTCTGGTGACTTTTATGGATGTGGTGCTGGTGCACGACAGCCTGGAGCGGGCTCTGCTCCGGACCAGCCTCACCAGGACTGTCCCCCAGCTGGTGACATTCAGAGGGGCCCTTTGTCACCAGCCCTGGAGGGACCAGAGGGACCAGGCTCCTGTGCAGGGACAGTGGCACTGAGCTGGGGCTCAGACACAGCCATTTCCCCACACTGTCACAGACTCTGGTCTAAGCAGCCCCACCAGGAGCAGGAACAGCTCTCAAGGCTTTCTTTGTTTTCCCCCTTCTCAGGGGATTTTTGTTTAGAATTCCTTCCTTCTGCACAATGGACCCAAGCTGGAAATCCCAGGAATGCCATGTGCCATTCCTGGTCCCCTGAGGGTGGGATTTTGGGAGAGGGATGTGTCTCAGTGCAGCAACAGAGATGAAACCATCCTTGTATATCCCCAGTGCTTGGCACCCAGTTTTGGGTTCCCATTACCATGGATTTATTCCCATAAACCATTCCTTAGGCTTTTCCCCAAACTTTTTGAAAAGCAGAACAAAGCCCAATTCATGTCACTCAGCAACCACACCTCCAGCACAAATGATCTGAAGTCTTGGGATCAAACAGAAAAGTCCCCTCAAGGCAGGAGGAACGTGGACAGAGACACTGCCAACAAAAGGTCTCATGAGGTGGCAGCCAGAATTCCCAACTGCACTGAAATTCCTTTCTATTTTGCTGCCTGGCTCCAGCAAAGATCTTTATTTCTAAGCTAAGGGGGTGTTTTGGCTTTGTCTCAGAAGATGTGTGATGTAAATGCACATCAGGATCCACCACACGTTCCCTCATCAGGACATGGGCTGAGCCTGGATAATTGGAAATCGGAGCCCTTAGGAGAAGGTGCAGCTTCATTTAGCCTCAAAGTCTGCAGCTTAATTGCAATCTAAACTCCTTCCCCAATTTTAAAGACAACTGAATTATAAATTACAATATACACATAGGCAATCCAGGAATTATTCCATGTCTGTCTCAAGACTGTAATAAAAATCTGTGTTTTCTATAATTGATACAAGGAGCAGATGAAGATGATGATGTTTAAATATCTGATCTCCACGGGAAGCTGCTGCTGGCACCCTTCCCCTGGAGAAGCCTGTAACACACACACACACGTGTGCTGTGGCACAGCACAGACCAAGAGCCTGGACAAAAACCTATTTCTGCCAGGAAACCTTTATTCAAAGAGGATTTAACATCCAAGTGCTCTGCGAGGCTGAGTCAGAGCTGCCTGACTCAGACCCTCAGCGACCTCACCATGTCTTTGATTAGAGACACTCTTGTAGCAATTGTTAATTAATTAACATACCACAGCCATTCTTCAAGCAGTGGCCTGAGGTGGCCCCAGTCTCCTCCTCATCCCCAAACCTGTGCACAGCCCTGGCACTCAGGCACAGCCCCAGGGAGGTTTCCTTCCTGCCTCCCATCTCCTCGAGGCCACAAGAAACACAAACCCCAGCACGTTTTCCCCAGAGCTTGCAGAGGAAGCAGCACCCAGTGGTGAATCCTCTCCCTGAAAACCACCCTGACACCTCCTCTGAGAGACAGGGCCTGTCTCTGCTCTGCCAGCTGCAAACTGTATTTTTATTTTGCTCCAATGAGTGGCTCTGAAATACAGCTTTATACAAATGATCACACTCTCTCCCCAGCTGAGAGGAGAGAATCAATTTTCCCCATATAAAATCAGCACAATTAATAACCTCAACGCTGCTGCTGAACCTGGCCAGCCCAACACAGCTGTGTGGAAGTGAGAGGCTTTTTGAACCTCAGCTGACTGAAAACACACAAAAATGGCACAGGAGACTGGGGCTGATGTGATCTCAGCCCACTGACAAGGGGCCAGCTCCACGTCCCCACACCTCACTGAACACCAGCAAACTCCGGGAACACTGTCCTGTGAGGAACTTCCACTTCTTACAGCCAGACTTCTGTTCCCCTAACCCCCTTCAGGACACACCAATACATATAAAATTTGACTTACTTCTCTATTAAATCCAGCGTGACTCCTGGCACCAGCCTGACACTCTTCTGCATGCAGAACCTGGGGAGAGACAGTAAAACAGCACACACTAATTGAGTGTTTAATGACGAGGCTCTGCAGAGAGGATGCAGAAGGAGGGCTCTTTGTTGCACTGGTTCTGCTCTTAAAATGGTGTTTGGGTAGGAAACTTCAGCAGGGCACGATCAGAGCCAAACGAGGCTCTCAGCATTTGTCACCCTCGTGATGCTGGGGCGATTTCCATCGTCAGGTGTCAAAACTGGGCCACTGTAACTGTCAGGGTGACAAGTGTTCCAACACAGCTCGGGGGAAAGGGCTCCCAGCAGCCAGCACGGCCTCTCGGGAGCACGACAGAGCAGGGAGGATTATGCTGCTGGAATAATGATCAGCCTTGCCTGGGCTTCCCTGGGAGATCTGGCACTGCAGGCAGGGAAGGCAGAAGGGAGGGGACGGGAGGAATGCGTCAGGTTCAGACACCTCCGTTATTTAATTAAAAAAACTGCTGACTCCATTTCCTCAGCCTTACAAATCCCACTACTCCAGGAACAGCAGCCCTGGAAAACAGAGTCCTGTCAGCAGTGCCTGGAAAATCCCCAAAGCTGCTAAACCAGGAGTGTGTGGGAAGGGGGGACGCTGCCTCCCTCCTGCAGCCCTGCCGGGAGCACAGGGCAGCAGTGGGAACACAGGATGGAAACCCAGCAAATCCAGCTTGCAATGGTTTCCTCTGCCAGGCTGCATTCCCAGCTCCAGTCCCTCTGCAATCCCCTCTCTGCTGTTGAAGGAGGAATTTACCCCTCGCTGGAATCTCGACCCTGCTCAGAGTTCTGGGGACACCGAGGGCTCAGCAATCCCATCTCCCACACCCCTCCTCTCCAGAGCCACATTATCCAGCTCCAAAAGGTTTTTCCCCAGATAAAGGGGAGAACAATTACTCATTAAAGACAAGACACGCAGAGCTCATTTCTGAGATCTTGAGGGCCACTCCAGCTTCCCTGTGGCATCCTCTGCCTGAAGGGCACCCAGTGGAGCCCAGGACTGGGACAGGCTCATGGTCCCCAGGCTGCTTTTCCTGCTGTGTGCATCATCCAGCAGAAAGAGAAGCCATAAAGAGCCCAGGCACCTGCAGTGGGATCCCTGTGCAATCTGCCGAAATATAAAATTCTTACGACAGTGCATTACAGAACCGTGCAGGGAAATTCCCTCCCAAGCAGCCCCAGGCAGACTCAGCCTGGCAGAGCCTGGTCCCTGGGATGAGGCTGGAGAGTTTAACCCTTCTGATGGTGCCTGGAAGGACCAGGAGAGCAGCACAGCTCTGCATGGTGACATCTGCTGCCCGTGAAAGTGGAAGTGTCCCAGGCCAGGCCAGGATAGCGGAAGGTGCTAATATTCCCAGACTAGAGAAGATAAAGGGAAGACCAGGTTGGACAGGACTTGGAACAACCTGGGACAGTGGGAGATGTCCCTGCCCACAGCAGGGGGTGGCACTGGATGGACTTTCGGGTCCCTCCCAACACAAACCCAGGAACGCAGGAAATGGTGCTCAGTATCACAGGAGTATTTTGAAGCTCAGTGCAGTTTGTCAAAACCAGTGTGGGACAGCTGAGTTAACCCCAAAATCTCTAGCAGAAATGCAGAATAAATACATCAGGGAAAACCCCAGAAAACACTTTAAACAGAACATCAGCAGGCACAGCTCCGGTCCCGTCCCGCTCCCTTCCCATGCTGGCTGAGCCTTCTGGAGAACAAACTGCCCATCTCAAACTCCCGAGGATGGGCAGCTCCCCAGCGTTCTGCTCCTTGTTCTTTGGGGTTTTCCAGCCCTTTTCAGGATCCCCACCCCTCTTTATGGACAGGACTTCACAGCCCCAGGGCCCCTAGGTCAGCTCAGGCCAGCGCAGCCTTGGGGAGCTGCGGGTGTGCGACTGCAGCCGGTTTGCACCTTCCAGGAGGATGGAAAGGCAGGCACATGAGTCAGCCCTGAGCTTCCAAGGGAGCTGCCTGTGCTCTGGGCAGCAGGATCTGCGTAAAGCAGGGCTCCAGAGCCTGCCAGTGCTGCCCATTCCTCAACATCCGCGCCTGCCTCCCGCCAGCGCCATCCGTCAGGATTAACAATCCCACAGCTCAGCTCCCGCTCTGCCTCACCCACAGCTTTATACAGCTCCAGATCCACGGGGAACACGTCAGCTCACAGCAGACACTACACACAAGGACAATCAGCATCCACACAGCCAACTCACACTCCAGCCTCCTGGAATTGCAGGCTGGCGCCAGGAGTTCCGTGCCCCACATCCCGAGGGCTCGGCTGACCTCTGCTTCTCTTCCCAGCATCGATTTCGCTTCCCCTGAAATCAGGCAGAAGTGGCTGCAGCTGCAGCCTCAACTGATGAGGGATTTTGTCCTTCAGTGACTTCGATACAGAGAACAAAATGGGATGGATAAACATTTATCCAAACTTTCATTTGCCCATAAATTCCGTATGTGAAACCTCATTAGAGCGCCAGCCTGGAACCGCACAAATGTCGTATTTGAAAAGCAGTTCCACAGGGTTCTGGGTCAGCTTTAGGAAAAGGGCTGAGATGAAGGAAAAGGGAAGTTTTGATGGCAAAGGGCTCTGTGGTTATTCTTGGGTAACAGCTTTAGGACATCAACACAGCTTGGATCAAACTCTTAGAATGCAGCAGAGGGTCTGGTTTTGCATTCATTGTGTTTAACATCAGTAAAAACCAATGATCCACAGCAGCAATTATTATTTACAGGATTGCATGGATAAAACCACACCTGCAACAATGCCAATCAACTGGGAACACAAAAGGAGCATAACCTTCATCAGAGAATGAAATTCCTGAGTGCAGTGAACACCACACAATCATTGGATTGGAAGTGGAAGGAAATTCTTCACTATGCAGGAGTTCCCATGGCACCTTCCAGCATCAGCCAGCTGAGGTGGTTAAACCCTTCCCCTGAGCACTTCTAGAAACGCCTCTCCTGTCAAACAGCCTGAGACACAACTCACAGAATCTCTGATGCTCGTGCAGGTGTAGCACGAGCTGTGGAGAACCTGCCCTGCTCACCCCCTCAGCCACGTTCCCATGGAGATGAGGAACAGAAAATTCCTGAACAGATCACAGTATCTGAAAAAAACCTTTCTTAGCATATCTAACAAACAAAACCCAGCAAAAAAAACCTCTCCTACAGAACTTCACATACCCAAACCAGAGCCTGGCCGCAGGAACTCGCTCACTTTGCTGCTGATGTGAAACAGAAAGAGTTTAATGAACTGTAATTTATTACAAATATCTCCAAAGGGCTGCGAGTAACTCTTGGAGCTGTGGTGAAATTTCTCAGCTCCACCTGCAGTGTCTGTGGGCTTCTGCCTGTTCAAACCCTGTCCAGCAAATGCCCTGAAGTTTTTCCACTCTGGAGCGGGCACAAACTTGAGAGGAGCAGCTGGAAGAGCCTCTGGGAATGGAACCTCTGAGCTCTGGGGGCTGCAGCCTCAGGTCCTGGGAGCTGGGTAAAACACTGCTCTTGGACAGCTCCTGCTCTCTGGAACAGCCTTTTCTAACTTTCAGCCTAATTAACTTGGGCTGCCATTGCAGAACATCTTTCCCTGGTTTATCACTCCCTTCCTCTCACTCCAGCAGTGTTTAAAGCTACTGCATTATTTACAGCAACCGCAATATTTGGGATGTGATTTGTGCAAAGGACAGTTTACAGAAAGTTGTACTGCACTATCTACCATTCCTGCTCTCTGAGGAAGCAGATATTTAATTCCCAGAACAGTAAATCCCTTAATCTGAGCAAACCTAGATATTGAGCTGGAAACTAAAACGCAGTAAGTAGACGATAACGATATTTTCACCTTTCCAGCTCTCATTAACGAGCCGCTGTCCCCAGTTCAAACCCTGCTGCTCAGCCCTGCAGGGGAGCTCGGGCTCAGGGGCAGCATTTGGGGTTCCAGAGCCCCCCTGTGCCCCGGGCAGGGGGTGCAGGAGGGCCTCACTCACCAGCGCAGCGCGATCTTGATGGGGGTGGTGAGGCAGGAGGTGAACAGGTCGGCAGGCAGGTCTGGGATCATGGGCAGCAGCTCGTTGGCCTCACACGCTGCCAGCTGGATGCAGTTCTTCATGGAAGGGGGCAGAGGCATCTGGGCAAGGGGGTGGTTGGGGTTGATGGCAGCCACCTGCAGAGAACATGGGAATTCCACAGGGAAGGTCAGGAAATCACCCAGGGAGAGCTGCCAGTGCTCCCTGGAGCTCTGGGTTTGGAGCTCTTGGTGGCTGTGGCAGCAGCAGCCACTGCTTTAACTCATATCTGATTAACAGCACTCCACTGCTAAGTCCAGGGTCACTCTAGAAATACCCTGCACACCAAACCTCAGTCCATAGAGTAAAAATGCTCTATAGACAAACATTCCCATTTTCCAAAAGCACAGGGATTCTCCTGGTTATGATTTTGACTAAAAGTATGATCTTTGAGACTAATAATTCAGGGAGTGAAAACATAAATAATCTTCTCTGCACCTTTCTGAACCAGAGAAACCAAGTAAACCTCAGCCACCAAAGTTTCTTTCCAACATTTTGCATTTCTTTCATTAGGGCAAGGTATGGAATCAGAAGGTGAGAATCCCTCTGGCAGATTAAGGGAAGAGCAAACTCCTCTGATCTCCTTGCAGGGAAATGGGGAACAATTATCATGATCACTCTGGCAGCCCCTCTGGAGCACCAGTTGCAGCTTTGCTTCACTTTTCATGAATTTGAACAAACGGATAATTTATCATTTTCCAAATGAATTCCCCTCCACGCTCTCATGACGCCGTGAGCGCTCTGCTGTCTCTGTTAGCAAGGCTCTGCTTTCTGTTCCCCACGAGCAGGAACCTCACTCAGGCACCAGGAGTTACTGAAATCCAAGGACAGAATGAAAAGCTGGCACATAACCCTGGGAGTATTTTCAAACCCAAATGAACTGGTAGTGTTAACCTGTGCTGCAAGAGCAGCAATACCACAGCAGCTGTCCCATGTAACCTCACACATTGCACGAGAGGAACAATCCCACAGAGGATGGAATTTAGGGTTTGTTGGAATGAAGGTTTTATCACCTGTGCTCATCCTCCTCCCCTGGCTGCACTTGCAGAGGTTTTCCTGCACAAGCTCCACCTGAGCAGTGGCTCTGTCCCCCAGCAGAGCTCCCCTCCCTCCCACAGCAGCCCCCAAGTCCTCCTGGAGCTCAGCACAAGCCAAGGGGAAAAGGAGATGGGTGAAGAAAGCAGGGAAAGGGAAGGTGGATTCAGACCTGTTCCACCTGCTTGGGAACAGAATGAGAAACCAAAACCAAAGTGCTGAAGAGAGCACTGCATAAACAAAGGAGAAAGGCCCCCAGAATATCCCAGTGGGAATCCCAGAACCTGGGAAAGGATATTCAGACCACCCTGCTCTGACCTCCAAAGGCATCTCCTACCGATTCTATCAATCCCTGTCTGCCAGTTCCACCTTCTTCCCAAGTCACAGAAGTTTCTTATTCTTACAAAATATGGAATTATTTTATGGAAGAGAAGGAATAATGGAATGATCTGCATATCCCAGGCTATCAGACTGTCTTCCTCAGTGCAATGGAATTTCCACCTGCCAAAGAGCCCCCAGTAAAGCATCTCCAAAAACCGGAATTCCGAAGGAAAGGGCCGACAGGCAGGGACACTGAACATCTGCTTGGAGCTTGTATTTGTGACACTCAGCTGCCTGATTAATTAATATTCCTTCCTTGAAGTTTTGGGGTTTCTAATCCAGTGTCCTAGAAGTGAACCTTTATGAATGTCCCTGTGAGCTCCAGGCAGCAGGTGGGAGGCTGCACAGAATATTCCAACTTCTTCCCTTCCACTTTGCATTTCAGATTTCCTTCAATAAATTTATTAATTCCATTTGCAACCAAAGACAGCTTTTCATTGGGAACACATTCCACACTCTGCAGAACTGGAACCACCAGCAGGACAATCCCTGTGTGGATCAGGTTTTTGTTGTTTCACATTTTTGCATTCACTTCAACAGCACAAAACCACAACTGCATCAAAATACAGCCCCAGATACCAGAGTTTTGCAACCAAAATAATGATGTCTTGTTCACCTCAGCATTCATCTCAGCAGAAAAGACCATTAGGGCCCAAATTGATTCTATTAACATTAACATTTAATTAGTGCTTGTATTAAAAATCATTCCAAGTTTAATGGGATAGCAAACTGAACAAGAAAGATCAGAGTTTCAAAGTTATTTGCAAATTAATTTGCCTTCCAACACGGTTTTAAACACATTTTTCAGTGTATACAGCAAAGCAAGCTGAAACTTCATTTGTGTTGAGCACAGCCCAGCAGAGCCCTGAGCTCTCACCTCCAGCTCCTGCTCTCTCTGTAGTGCAAATTGCTTGAAGGACTTGACAATCAGGCCGGCGTTGGAGCAGTCGTAGACGAAGATGGAAGGGCTCCCCATCCAGGTCTGCAGGTCGTAGATGGACAGGGGGATGTACTGGGTGTAGTTCTGCACGAGAGAAGCTCAGTCACCACGGGGTGACAGAACCCAAACTGGGTGAGCTCATCAAATACAGCCACAAAAGCCAGCTCTGAAACCCCAAAATAAACCCTAGATTGAACAGATTAATTAATACAAATCTCAGTCAGTGTCGACCAACAGTGAGGAAGTGAACCCAAGTCAACACAAGCGACGAGCAGATTTTATTGTGGTGTTATTTGAAACGCCCAACTCTAAAAAAAAAAAAAGCCCAAAAACTTTGCCAAGAGTTTTCAGTATCAGATATTTAGAGCTCTGATATGTGCTAACAACTCCAAACATCATTTAATAGTCCAATTTTATCCCAAATTTCTGCAACGCTGATAAAGGATGCAAACCAGCTGTCTTTAATTTAACATCAAACATCTTAAACTGAAAACCCCATCAATAAATCAGGATGGATAATTAAGCCCCTGCAGCCCATCAGCGCTACCCCGCCTGAGCCTAACGAGATGCTTCATAATTTTATTACAGCTTTAGCTTCTGTGCAACTTTCCAAATTATCCATTAAAATGAAAACCAACAAAGCTGCCTTCAACAGAGTGAAGTGCCCACAGTTCCCTCTCTGTAAATAAGGAGGATCTTGTTCCTTGTCTTCCATCTTAACGAACGCCCCCAAATAACTGGAGGCAAGAGGATAAAAATCAGCCATTTAAAAGCAGCTCTGAGGAGCCAATCCTGAACCAAGAGAGCTGAAAATATAAACCACAGATTCCTGCCTGCAAAGAGTCACCACCAAATACCCAGTGGCTGCCAGCAGGATCCTTCTCAGCTGCAGGCAGAGGGTAACCTGGTGTTCCTCCAACCCTGAGCTCAGCCCAAAATCCTCAGGAAAAGCTGTGATGTTCCTATTAACATCAGCAGGATGATGGATGGGATCATAACTCTCATTTAAATTCAAGAGACTTAAAATAGCTGTAATAAAACCAGTAAACTTTTTACAAAAATCCAATTTTCAAGGACATGTATCAGCATCGATAAAGACAGGAGGTATCATAAACCATGTGTTACGTAAGGCAGGGAGGGATAAAGCATTTCCAAACCCACTTTTGCCCATATATAACAGTTTGAGTTGTTTCATTAAAAATAATAGGGAAAATTGTTGATAAAAACCAAAGTTTTAGGGAGCTGGAGCTCTGCAAATCACGGCAATGAGAGAATGAGGCACGAGCAGCCCGTCCTCAGCACAGCCTTTCTTAAGGTCACCACTCACGTGAAGCACATTCCAGTCCCAGGAAGTTCCACATAAAACCTGCTCTGACACATCTCATCAACGACATTTTATGGGCAGGCATTGTTTTACCTTTTTATTTCCAATGCATCTTGCTCCAGCTAAGATCGGGTTATAGCTCTGATTAATACTGTGGTATTTCCAACCAGAAGAATTTTATGTTCCAATGTGGAAGTGGGGGGTCACATTAAACATCAAATTTGCTAATGAGATGTAAATGAGGCAGTTTGAAGCAAGAAGGGGTGTTAAAGCAGAGCTGGACATACAGTTTGTTCCCTGGCTTGGGCATGGAGGAGAACACTCCAACACTGCTCCCACCATCCCTGTGCCTCTTCCTGGGAATGACACAACAACAGCTCAACTGGAAACTGCTTGTGAACAGATTTCATCCCCAATTGTTTAGCAAACAACTCAGAGATATTCCAAATTTGCAGAGAAGCTCCTCAAAATGTGAGAATAAACATGTCTCAAGTTGGGGCATGTTGATTTTTCTCCTTTTGAAGCTACATTGAGATTTGCTCAGGAAGCAGCAGCTGAACTAGAACACTGCTCCTTACTGATACAACAGCACTCACAATAAATACATGAAAAATGTTATTGTAGCCTCAGTGTGTGGCAAAAGGCCAGAAAATGCCAAATTAACCAGTTCCAGGGACTGTCTTGCTGCTCTCTTGGTATGTCCACACTGAACAGTGAGGCAGAGCAGGAACAATTCTGGGTTTCCATGCTCCCCTTCCACCCCATGCCAATAATTTATTGCCTCAGTGCACTGCAGAGAAGCCTCTCGTGCCCCCCAGGGCAGGGACAGCCTGTGTGGCCACACAGCCTCAAGAACACAAAGAAATCAATCAGGGAATGAAACACCTGGGAACATATCCTAAACCTGGAAAAGTGATGGGACAACAGGCTCAGACCGAGAGGGGAAACTCAGGGTATGTATTGGGAAGAAATTCCTCCCTGGGAGGGTGGCCAGGCGCTGGCACAGGGTGCCCAGAGCAGCTGTGGCTGCCCCTGGATCCCTGGCAGTGCCCAAGGCCAGGCTGGACGGGGCTGGGAGCAGCCTGGGGCAGTGGGAGATGTTCCTGGGGCAGTGGAAGATGTTCCTGGGGCAGTGGGAGATGTGCCTGGGGCAGTGGAAGATGTCCCTGGGGCAGTGGAAGGTATCCCTGGGGCAGTGGAAGATGTCCCTGGGGCAGTGGAAGATGTGCCTGGGGCAGTGGAAGATGTCCCTGGGGCAGTGGAAGATGTGCCTGGGGCAGTGGAAGATGTCCCTGGGGCAGTGGGAGATGTCCCTGGGGCAGTGGAAGATGTCCCTGGGGCAGTAGAAGGTATCCCTGCCCACAGCAAGGGTGGCACTGGGTGGGCTTTAAGGTCCCTCCAACCCAAAGCAGTCTGTGAGCCCACGACTCAAAGGCAGCTGTGCTCCAGCAGAAGGCTGCAGTGGCTGTGCTGGGCCAGACCCACCTTGTTGAAGACCCAGATCTCCCCGTTGACCGTGGGCCGGGGCACGCCGTGCCCGTTGTAGTGGAACAGCACGCGCTCCTCCTTGGCGTTGCGGCGCAGGGACGTGCACAGCTTCTTCACCTCGTCCACCGTGGGGTCCAGGCTCTGCTTGTACCTGGCCTGGGACACAGCAGGGGACACAGTCACTGCACACAGCCTCTGATACCGACACATTCAGCTTTCCTCTCGTGTTTCCCAGGTTCTGCACTGCGCTGGTAACCCTGAACTCCACACAAAGTGTCAGCAGGGTCTCCTCACAGCTCAGGCACGCACAACAATCCTTCTCCAGCCCACAGCCAAGGACACCGCTGCAGCTCCGGGCCCAAAAACTGTTCTCAAATTCTCAAAGAGAATTGAGGAGCCTGGGAGGGTGGGACAGCATCACCTGAACTGCACAATTAACCCCAAGGTGGAAACGGACCCAAACTCATAAAAGTGTGAAACTCCTGAGCCAGGGCCCATCCTGGGTGCAGCCACAGCCGGGCTCTTGCACTGCCCAAGGTGCATCTTTGGAAGGGCTTTTAATAAATCCCTGCTTTATTCCTTTAACTGCCCAGCCTCTGCTCCAGGAGCCACTCCAGGCATCAGAGGCAGCGTGGACAGGAGCTGGCTGCTTTGGGAAAGGGAAACACACAACACTGGCAGTGGGGCTGGGTAAGCAAAGCGTGTCTGTGCTGCAGTTTAGCTCACAACTCCCTCCCAGCTCACTCACTTTTGAATTATTAATATTTAGAAAACCTTAGGAAGGTGAAATCTGTTTCAACATTAGCCAGTCTCAAAAGTAACCCCTCACTTAATTCTCCAATTCAGCCTCCAACTGAACAAATCCCCTCTTCTGAAGAGAGAAAACTGTACAGGTCAACTCTGCTCTCGAAACAAAAGGACACAAAAGGCCCAGGAACTTGACATTGACACATTTGGGTAAAAAGGGGGAAGAGTGATGGAGAGCCCTTGGAAACTGCCCTTTGCCTTTGGAAAAATGGATGCATTTCCTCAGCTGTGGCTGTGGACACCCCGTTACTGCTCCTACGAGCACCAAGCTCAGAGCACACTGGAGGATGGAGGAGAAATCAAACTGGCAGAAACCCCAGTGCTTCAAACCCCTTTTAACCTGGCTGGGTTCAAGACACCCGGGTAGGAGCTGGTTTGTCACGCTCAAAAGTGCAATTTTTTGAAGTAAGGCCAAATAATAACAGAAAGTCTTTCAACTGTCCTTTGAAAGACAAAAGCCTGGCTCTTTCTCTCTTCTCCAGAGCTGCAGAGACTGAAACCCCAGAATCACAATAAAACCCTTCAATCTGATGTATTGAAATAAAGACCCAAATTTAAGAGCAGGACAAACACACCTCTCCAAAACCTGCCATTGGGAGCCTGTTTATAAACCAAACCAAGGCCACAGAAGTTTGGGCTTTTTACTTTTCATCTGTGACAGCCAAAGATGAGAAAGTCTTAAAATGTCACAGTAAAAGAGGATGAAGGATTTAAATTGTTTACCTGAGGAGCCTGAAGAGCAGATACAGGGCTGCTCAATTAACAGTCAGAGTCTCCAGCCAGCAGGGGAGAGGGAACAATGAATGGAAGCATTTAATGATGGCAACACCCAAGAAAAGCAAGCAAAAGGAGGAAAAATATGAAGCAAGGAGCAGTGATGTGACACCCTCATCCTTTCTGGGAACCTCAGCACTCAGGAAAGCCAAGAGGCTGCATAAATCTTCCCACGGAGCCCCCACCTCCTCCTCTCTCCACTCAGAGTACTGATGAAGACACTGATTTGCAAAAAATGTGCCCCTTAAATCCCAGCCTGGCTGCTGGCAGCTTCAGCAGCCGCCCAAAGCACAGTGCTGGGGAATTTCAGCCTTTTTTTCCACAGGAGAACAGGCTCATTCCATCCCTCCTCACGTCCCCAGAGCATCAATATTAAACACAGCTCACAGTTAATGGAGGTGGATTCAGACTCTAAAACTAAAGTCTGTAGATTTCAATTTCCAAACTGCAAACAGATCATTTGGGCCTGGAGAAACACGAGGACGAGGGGAATGGAGGGGAGGGAGCCTGTGAGTAAGCACAGTCTGAGCCTCACTGCCAGCTCAGGAGCCAGCTGGGAGTTTTAGATGTGACAAGAAGCAGGTAGGTGAGTAACACACCAGCCCTTTTTGTCTTTTCCTTTCCTCCCATGGCTGTTCCTTCTCCTCCAGCTCCCAGCAGGAGCTTTCCAGCACTAATGAGTGCAAAAGGTAACAAACCTGAGAGCTGTGTGGGGTTTAACCTCAGCAGCTCCTGTTGGTAGCACAGACACAGCCCAGACTTTTCCCCTGTTTTTATCAGCCATTGCCCACTTCCCCAGGGCTGCTGGCCCTCCTGCCCTGCACAGGTATTGCTGGTGTTTGGAGGCAGCCTGTGCTCCCTGCTGGACACAGGACACTCCAGCCCTCCCCTGGACACTACACCTGGAGCAGCAGAGCTGTCACAGCCCTGATGGGGACGGCAGCTCCGGAACGAGAGCTCCCGGTCACCTGCTGCCCCTGGCAAAAGCAACAACGTGGTGCCCTCATCCAGGAGATCCTCATCCTTCTGCTCACACAGGCAAAGTTAAAAGTTTTGTTTGTTTATTGCCACACTTCTGTGAAACACTCTCTGGTTAATCCAGCCTTGTCCCTGCTAACTTGTGGCAGGATGTCAATCTTTAAGACATTTCACCTTTCGGTGTTGAAACTCCAGGACTGATAAAACACTGTATTGGCAAATTTGCTGGAAATAGGAAGATTTTCAATAGAAAGGAGTTCTGGCACCCAAACCAGGAAAAGAAACCAGTTTGGGGATAGCTCCAAGTGTTATCACTGTGGACATTACCCATGTTTGGTGCTGAAATGGGAGGTGAGATGGTGCCACTCCGAAGCCGTGGTGCCGACCATCCCCTGACATCCCCACAGAATGACCTCCCAAATTATTGTCCATTTGTTTCACAAATGATTTACCTCTTCCAAAAGAAAAATAAACCAGCCAGGTGTTCACTGCCTAGCAGGGCACAGCAGTGACCTCTCCAACACGAGTCTGTCTGGAGGGGAAAACCCCTTCAGTGGATCCATCACCTCTTACCCCACTGGAATGTCAGGATGCACTGGCTGCAGAATTCCCAGTCCTCTGGATTTGGAGCTTAAATTAATGTCCCTGCTTTGGAAACTTCACCTAACTACAGGTTTTCCCTTCATTTATAATTAAGACACGCGTGGCACTGAGGAGGAGCCGGGGCTGCAGCAGCTCCGGGGCTGTGCCAAAGGGCTTTGCTGTCACCTGAGACACCAGAAACTGGCTCGTCATCACCTCCCAAACTCGGCTCTGCTCACCCTGCCAGCTGCTGAGCCCAGGAAACTCAGCTCAGGATCAGCTCCCGTGAAAAGGAAGGAATGCAGAGTGCCAGAGGTGACGGAACAGGAGATTGAAGTTGCTGATGTTGCTCAACGCTCAGTGGCAATGGAAAGTTCTGGAAGCCAGGCCAGGTTCCCATCTCCACTGGCACCAGCCCAGCAGGCAAGAGGCGCTGCTGGAGCACCACGGCTCTTTCAGAGGGGAGATGGATTTTTTTCTCCTTAAGGAAATATGAGGATAAATCTGTTTTCTCATCAAAGCTATAAAATTCAGATGTTCCTCTTTCATTCTCCTGCAGCCCAAGACCTCAGTGTTTGTTCCAGAAAGACTCCACAAGCCTCAGACCACAGCGTGTGTGTGATTCCACGCCAAAACCTCAGCCCCCAGCACAGGGGACACAAAGTGTATGAAAAATGTATGACAAATGTCTCTGCTGGCATCCAGAGCCTCTGCTCTTCACAAGGTATAACATCATCCTCTCTCTTCTCATTCAGAACAAATCCTGAAGTCACTCCCCTTTTATCCCTAAGATACCTTACTGAATGTGTTCCAAATTTATCCACAGAAGAAACTACTCCAACATTCAGTATTTTATACTGAAACTGCCTTTTACACCTCCTTGCAGAAGAAGGATGCTCCTACCCAGAATCTATAATGAGATATAAAAGCTTTATTTGGCTGAAGATTGGGTTTTTTTAAACAGCTTCTGGGTGACAAAGAAGTCCAAATGCAAATGGCACACACAAGGCACTGCATGTGGTGAGTTACTGTGGTGGGTAAAATACATAAAATAGAGGCAATTCAGCTGCAGTGTTTGAGGTTTTAATGTTCCCTCCTCAAGTGCCCATTACTGCCCAAAGCAGAACTTCCCTGGAAGTGCCCAAGGCCAGGCTGGAGCACCCTGCTTCAGTGGAAGGGGCTGGGACTGGATGGTCTGTGAGGCTCTCTCCAACCCAGTTCCATGATTCCATATCTGCAGGACATGGACAATCCCCGGGACTGGAAGGTTTCCTGCCCTGTGGAACCTCAGAGAGCAGGGCTGGCTGGGATTTCCTGGAGGAACCAGTCCCACCCCAGTTATTCCAGTGCAGAACCCATCACTTCCACATGCTGGGCTGTCCAGCCCATGGCAAAGCCTCCCCATGGTGGATCCCAAACTCTGAGATGCAGCTTTCCCTGATCCTCAGCAATGCTTGCTCCTAACCCAAACTCCAAGGACCATCCCAGGGTGCAGCTGCCACGTGGAGCAGATCTGCATCCCAGTTTCCAAAAGCAGAGGAGACATCAAACCTGCGACTTTGCCATGCACACAGCCAGCCTACTTCACATGATTTAATTAAAAGGAATCAAAGCAAGCTAATTATTCCAAGAGAGGGGTTTTTGGAACAATGCCCAAATTGGAAAAACTCAACTATAAGAAGCTTTACAAAGAAGTGACTAAAACCCAAGAGGAACGACAGCAGCAGCTTCCAGGGCAAGGGCAGGCAGGTTCCACAGCAGCTCCCCTGGCTGTGTGTACAAACCCATCCCTGCTGCTCAGGGATCCATCCTGGATCAACATCCCCATGCTCCATGAGAACTTCAGCCACACTAAGGTAAATATCTCCCAGGCAAAGGATAAAACCACCCCAGACAGAAATGTTCCTCAGACGCTTGAAGACCTATTCAAGATGAACACTAAAAATCCTGGATTAAGTTTTCTTTCAAGTGAAGAGCATAAAATTGAATTAATTCATATTCCACTTTATATGAGG